CCCCCCCCCCCCGCCCCCGTCCCCTGTCCAGCACATTCTCCACCATACACGGCCAGGTTCACCCGGGCCCTTGGTATTCAGTGTGGTCCCCTAACTAGCAGCCTCAGCCTCACCTGCCTGCTTGTTAGAAATACAGAATCTGGGGGGCACCTGGGTGGCTCAGTCAGTTAAGCGGCCAACTTCGGCTCAGGTCATGATCTCGCGGTCCGTGAGCTCGAGCCCCGCGTCAGGCTCTGTGCTGACTGCTCAGAGCCTGGACCCTGTTTCGGATTCTGTGTCTCCCTCTCTCTCTGACCCTCCCCCGTTCATGCTCTGTCTCTCTCTGTCTCAAAAATAAATAAACGTTAAAAAAAATTAAAAAAAAAAAGAAATGCAGAATCTGGGGGTCCACCCTAGACCTGAGAATTAGAATCTATACTTTAACAAAAGTCCCCAGTAACTTATGGGAAACTAAAATTTGGAAGCACCACCCTAGGAAAAAGGGCAAAGCAAGTGAACTTCCTCTTGTCTGGTTGCCCACCCCCTCCCCCCATGCCATCCGCAGGTACCAGTTCTTTAGGCTCTCAGAAGGTGTTAAGGCCAAGTTCAAACCCTCCAGCACCAGCCCACCTGCTCAGCTGTTCCCCTCGTACATCCAATTCAACTAGCTTTATGGTTTATCAAAACAGCTTAGGCTACTTTACACTAAAATATGAGTAACTAATAATACCTACAAAGAGTAGACTCTGGAGAAATGTTCCTGAGAGAACACAGTGGTAACAAGAACATTTTAAAACCAGAAAAATCTGTGTTTGCGTATCAGCTCTCTCAATGATCAGCTTGGAGAATCTCAGAAGCTTAAATAGCTCTCTGAACTTCCATTTCTGCTTCTGTAAAATGGGGATAATATCTACCTTACAAAGGGATTAGAGGTAATGCAAAGCATTTTTTGCATACCACGCAGGGCACATGGTAAGTGCTGTCTCTTCCTTTTGAATAAACCATAACGTCACAGTTAACTGAATTCCAAAATAGTGTTGATGCAAATAAATGTCTAGCTGGTGTTGCCCCAGCCGGGGTGAGCACAGGCAGATAACCTGAAACGGGTCAGCATTTCTCGTGACTCATAAAATCGCATCTGCGGACCACCATCAGCCTAGCTACGCTGGAAGTCACTCCCTGTGTACCTTTCCCCCTTTTACTTCTCCTGCACTAACTTAGACTTTGGAGACTTCTGACCAAAAGCTCTTCTTCCTGTGTCCTTGAAGAAAGTGTTAATCATTCAATTAAAAGGCCAAAAATATTAACTGGGGGGAAAAATAGGTTGTGATGTTTAGACTGCAATAGATTCATTTTTGGCACTTAAAAAATCATTCCGGCATTATCGCTGATGTACAAGCAATGAACTAGAATTGTTTTTATTATTCTAACTGATTAATTATGCTTTACCTGATTTTTTAAATGTTTGGTTTTTTAAATTTTTTAGAACATCTTTATTTACTTTTGAGAGACAGAGAGAGACAGAGCGTGAGCAGGGGAGGGGCAGAGAGAGGGAGACACAGAATCCAAAGCAGTCTCCAGGCTCTAAACTGTCAGCACAGAGCCCGACCCAGGGCTCGGACCCACAGACCGTGAGATCATAACCGGGCGCTTAACCGACTGAGCCACCCAGGCGCCCCAAATGTTGGTTTACTTTTGAGAGAGAGAGACAGACAGAGACAGAGACAGAGACAGACGCATGAGTTGGAGAGGGGCAGAGAGAGGGAGACAGAAACCAAAGCAGGCTCCAGGCTCTGAGCTGTCAGCACAGCAGGGCTCAAACCCGCAAACCCCGAGATCATAACCTGGAGCCAAAGTTGGGCTTTTAACCGACTAAGCCACCCAGGCGCCCCCTGGGTTTTTTTTTTAAGATTTTATTTTTAGCTAATCTCTACACACCTGACGTGGGGCTCCAACACACAATCCTGAGACTGAGTCACACACTCCACTGACTGGACCAGCCAGGGACCCCATGCTCTTTACCTGATGTTTAAATTGTCAGTTTGATTATTGACTATACTTGAAAGCAATTAATTTGAGAACTCTAAAATACGTGAAATCATTGTTATAAAGATAATCTTTAAATCAGACTGACAACTAATAACGTTTCATGAATTTGTTAAGATAGTTTTAAAAAGCACAAGGCGTAAATGGGGAAAAAAAAGGGTACATTTAACTGAAACAAAACTTAACATTTTTGCCCAACAATAAACACCATAAACCAAGTTAAAAGACAACCCACCACCTGGGAGATTTCCCAACACATATAATGGAAAAAGAAAGTCAATAAGAAAGGAGACAAGCAAATCGATAGCAAATGTAAGCAAATAACACAAACACACAATTCCCAGAAGAGCAAACCCATTGTCCAAGGCACACAAAAAGATTTGTAACTTCGCTACTAATCAGGGGAAATGCAAATTAACCCTCCAAGAAGCCACCGCATTAGACATCTGTGATGGGCAAAAATATCCAGTGCGACATTACCCATTACTGGAAAGGAAATGGCACACTAGGAACGCCCATGCCCTGCCAATAGGAGGACCTAGGAAACCCACGTGACCCCTTTGGAAAGCAATCTAGCTTTGTCTAGTGGCTGGAAAGTGGGCGCCGGGCAGAGCACAGGCTGGCCGTGGCTACGCCAGAGCATGTTTTCCAATGTATGATTGTTGGCGGCAGCACTGCTGGGGAGCTGGTTAGAAATGGAATTCTCTATGGGAACACAAGCTGGTGCAGCCACTCTGGACAACAGTATGGAGGTTCCTCAAAAAACTAAAAATAGAACTACCCTACGACCCAGCAATTGCACTACTAAGCATTTATCCAAGGGATACAGGTGTGCTGTTTCGAAGGGACACATGCACCCCCGTGTTTATGGCAGCAGCACTATCCACAATAGCCGAAGTATGGGAAGAGCCCAAATGTCCACCAATGGATGAATGGATAAAGAAGATGTGGCATATATCTACAATGGAGTATTACTCGGCAATCAAAAAGAATGAAATCTTGCCATTTACAACTACGTGGATGGAACTGGAGGGTATTATGCTAAGTGAAATTAGTCAGAGAAAGACAAAAATCATATGACTTCGCTCATATGAGGACTTTAAGAGAAAAAAACAGATGAACATAAGGGAACGGAAAATAATAATATAAAAACAGGGAGGGGGACAAAACAGAAGAGACGCATAAATATGGAGAACAAACTGAGGGTTACTGGAGGGGTTGTGGGAGGGGGGATGGGCTAAATGGGTAAGGGGCACTAAGGAATCTACTCCTGAAATCAGTGTTGCATTATATGCTAACTAATTTGGATGTAAATTTAAAAAATAAAATTAAAATTAAAAAAATAAAATAATAAAATAATAAAAAACAAAACAGAGGAAGAAAGAAAGAAAGAGAAAGAAAGAGAAAGAAAGAAAGAAAGAAAGAAAGAAAGAAAGAAAGAAAGAAATGGAATTCTCTAGTCCCAGCCCAAGACTGCCTTCCTTCCTGGGGGGTGCATTTTAAGAAGCAAGCCCTCCAGCACATTGTGGCCCATGCCCAAGTTCAGAACCGCTGCCCCAGAGAAACTCACACCTCAGCTCCCACATGTTTCAACAGGACATTGCTAGAATACTGGGGTCATGGTTCTGGATACATTGCTTACAAAGGTGGTCTGACAGATCTTGGCTTTACTGGGACAGAGTGTCATTGAAAGTTAAGGGACACTGTGAAGGCAATCCAGGTTTCCTCAAATGTACACATTTGCACAAAGAGATGTGTACAAGGATGAACGTATAAAAAATGAAGCTTTTAAAACAGTGTAAACAGTGGCCAATAGAAGAGTAGGTACTATGGGACATTATAGAGCAGTTAAAATTAATGAGATCTACATGAATCAGCAGGGATAAATCTTGAAAATATAATGCTGAACGAGAAAAAACAAGTTGCAGAATGACACCTATAGCAGGACACCACATAACATTAAGTTAAAATCTCATCCAGAAATCTACATTGTCTTTTGAGAAATACACAAACCCTTGTATGAAGACATCAGGGATGTATGTCTGGAAAGTACGCCTGCTGATCTTATTACGATAGTGGTTATCTGTGGGCAAGATACGAGAGGGATGGGATACAGGAGTACAAACAGAACATCAACTGTAAGATTTTTTTTTTTAAGCTGTCAAATAGGGTAGAGGGTTAATATTTGTTAAACCTGAGTTGGGGTAAAACATATGGCTTATATTAATGTGTGTGCTCTTGTGCATATTCAAAGTATTTCATCATACTGATTTTAAGATTTGAAGTTCATTATATTTGTGAATACTAGAAAACCTTATCTCTGTACAAAAAGAAATCTTGTAAAGCCTCAGCCTCAAGAGGTAGAGCTTTTAAAAACTGAATCTTTGTGACACCTAGTGGCAGCAGAAGGTTACAATCTAATACACGTTTAGAAACAAACTGGGTTCAACATACCACAGATACCTGAATTCTTGGTTTAATTAACCTTTCACAAAACTTTTAAAGCTTGTGCTGTTTGTTTTGATTTGTGTTCTTAGTGGACCACATTTGAACGTTAAAAAAATTTTTTTAATCTTTATTTTTGAGAGAGAGAGAGAGCGAATGAGCAACAGAGAGAAAGGGAGACACAGAATCCGAAGCAGGCTCCAGACTCTTGAGCTGTCAGCACAGAGCCCAACACGGGGCTCAAACTCACCAACCGCGAGATCACGACCTGAGCCAAAGTCGGACGCTTAACCGACTGAGTCACCCAGGCGCCCCTGAGTATCTTTAATGACACTTTGGAATATGGTATTGTCTTGTATACATTAGTCATGGGGCTCAGACTCTGGTCTCCTAAAAAAACATCAGTTATGTCACTTCCGGTGTCTCCCACACAAGCCTCCGCCCCCCCCCCCCCCCCGCCCCGCCCCCCCCCTCCCTGGGTCAGTGAGAGCAGCAGAGAGGAGCTCCGAGCTACACACCCAGCTGGCCAGGTGTCCATCCCTACCTCACACCAGTGCCCCCGCCTCATCTCCCCGAGCCCTCAATGGCCCTGTCGAGGTTCCAGATCCAGGTTTTTCCTGTGCCCTCCACGTCCATTCAATCAGCTTCCAAGTCCACCTCTGGAATGTGTCAGACCCATCACTCACTTACTCCCTGCGAGGGACGGGAGGCGGGACCATCAATCGCTCACATTCATGTTCCCCATAAGAACCTAGTTCAGTTCTTGGCGCGTGCGTGGTCAACCCAAGACAAGTGTTCATGGAGTAGATTTCCACTGCCACGACCCAGGCTCAGACCCTCATTACCTCAGGCCTAGACTAGGACAACAGCAGCCTAAATACCATCCTTTAAAACCTCTTAAAACTTCTCCCTGTGACAGAGGGCCACATGCTCATCCCTCATTCCCAGTGAAGTTTGTCCACGTGCAGATCTCATTTCCACTCCCGTTGTCAGCAGACACGGTTTAAACTTCTTAGCTTGGGATGTAATGTGCTTCACAACCTGGTCCAGACCTGACGTTGCTCAACCTCCCCTCCCAGACCCCTGCCCAGACCTACTATTCTTCAAGCTTCCTGAGGGTATTCCCATCTTCACTGCTCTGCTCACATGTTCCTCCTGCCCACCCACCATCAATTCTGCACCTTTGTTCTTGTGTGGGTGTCGTTTGCTCTGAGTCTTTCACTTCCATGCAGCTCTAGGTGGCGTCTCTCCATGTAAAAAGTCAATGGCACTACCTACCAAACTGGCCCTTTGGAGCTTGTGTCCTGATTTATCTGCTTGCTTGTGCCTTTGCCCGCCATCTGGAAGAGTGCATTTCAATGGTACTGACCGCCTCTCACACTGGTTTGTGTTCTCAGAAACTAGCACAGTCCTCAGAGGGAAGCCAGCTCAGAGGGATCTGTGGAAATGAGAATTAGATAAAGGGTGAATGGCCATTGATTGCAATTGGGATAAGCCCTTACAATCTTTAATCTGGAGGTAGCTGGCACAGGACTCTGAACAATGTGTTATACAAGCTGATCTCTTATATTTTGGCTAAGAAACCGATCACCTGTGGCTGTGGAACATGAGAGAAAAAGGAGTCGGTATCAGGCTCCCTGTATTGGGCTCGAAGTATAAGAAGCACGGAGGGTCAAGGATGACTCCCACCTTCTAGATTGGGCACTTGGTTAGTAACAAAGCTACCTATCGTGCTGAAGAAATGAGGAAGGGAAAAAGCTACTAAGAAACTAGAGTCAACTCTATTTTAGACAAGGCTATTTTCTAACGCTCTTAGTATCCCACACACATTCAGTAGTTCTGTCAAACCGCATGGGGCAGCAAGGCCAGCTCCAAGGCTCATTAGTGAACAACTCTGTGTAGTTACTTTCTGAAACTTCATTCCTCCACACAAACACAAGCTCATACCCACAGTCCCACGAACTCCTGATAGAGCCTCCGGCATTAAGAAGTGCTCCCGGGGCGCCTGGGTGGCGCAGTCGGTTAAGCGTCCGACTTCAGCCAGGTCACGATCTCGCGGTCCGTGAGTTCGAGCCCCGCGTCGGGCTCTGGGCTGATGGCTCAGAGCCTGGAGCCTGTTTCTGATTCTGTGTCTCCCTCTCTCTCTGCCCCTCCCCTGTTCATGCTCTGTCTCTCTCTGTCCCAAAAATAAATAAACGTTGAAAAAAAATTAAAAAAAAAAAAAAAAAAAGAAGTGCTCCCTGTTAGTCCTCTCCCCTCTCCACCAATTTCAAGCCTTCCCACCCAGTCACAAGCCCCCTTCTGTCTTGCCCCAGTCCTTCCAGTTGGGATCAAAGCTGGACAATGGGCATTGACCCTGTTCCTAATTTATGGTCAAGTTCTTTGTAAGGGCCACAGCCTTCCTAAACACTGACTGCTTGGCTGGGCCAAACTCTTGCAGACGCCTCCCATGAGTTATGCCCCTTCTTGTCTCCTCGCCTACCTTGAGCACCGCCCCCCCCGCCATCACCACCATTCCCTGGCTGGGAATCTGCTTTGAACAATGCCACTTACCTCCTGGCCTAGAGCCAAGTGCTGACACCCAGCTAATGGTGAACATGGTAGCCACACACTCCACTGCTGCTCGCACTTGACTTCAGATCCCGCCGGTCTTGTGACAGTCTGCCAATCCTCAATTCTAGTGTGCCTCCATTACCCATGGATGCTGTTCTACCCTTGAGTTTGTTATGGGGCACTGGGGAATAGGACTGAAGAGCTCTAATGCAGACTCCACTTACCTAGCACAGTACCTGGCAGGTAAGACAGCAGCAGCAACAACTTCACTACCTGTTGAGTGCTTACTAAGGGCTAGGCACCCCTATGAAAACTTCACATGAATTGAGTCACTTCATCTTCAGAGCAATACTAAGAGGCAGGCACTATTACTTATTATCCAGATGCGGAAACTGAGGCAGAGAGTAAGCATTATTAAGTGCTTTTTTATTTATTTTTTTTTAATGTTTATTTATTTCTGAGAGGGGCGGAGGGGCAGAGAGAGATTGGGAGACACAGAATCCAAAGCAGGCTCCAGGCTCTGAGCTCTCGGCACAGAGGCCGACACAGGGCTCGAACACACGGACCGCGAGATCATGAGTTGAGCCAAAGTCAGACGCTTAGCTGACTGAGCCACCCAGGCGCCCCTATCAAGTGTTTTTTGACTGAATGAACTTCCATTGGGCCCAAAGAGTTGTCCAACATTAATTCTGTGGTCCATTCCCCCGGCAGATGTTTTATTTATTTTTTTTAATTAATTTTTTTTAAGCATTAAACAATAGATACTCATTAAAGGCTAAAATATCAACGTTCAGTTTATCCAAGGGTCATCAGGCCCTAGGATATATTAGGTCAAGATGCGCAAAAGGCAATGATACCAAAAGGCAATTATACAATTTACAATGAAAAGCACAACTATTAAGTAGGCTGGTCTTTGTATTGGCTGGGTGACACGTTATTGCCACAGGGAAGAAGCTTTCTAGGGGAAGCAAGTTTAAAATTACAAGGTGTTTGGCCCCCACCCCCCAGCCGAAAGGCTTCCCCTCCATTACCTTTCCTCTTTTTCATTGCCAATTTTTTAAATATAGTCCAGCCTTTATTAAAACTGGGATGCTCTTTAAAATGCACATTTCTGGTTTTTGCTAAAACTAAGTTAGAACTTCTAAGACTGAGACCCAGAAATGTTTATATTTTAATAGCTTCACCACTCCATCCAAATGATTTTAACGCGCATTAGAGAATCTTTTTCATAAATCTGTACCCACTTCCTCACTTCATGCTGTTTATTCATTTCTCTTTCTTCCTTTTTACTTAAATTGAAATCCAAGTTAGTTAACATACAGTGTTATAATGATTTCAGGAATGCAATGCAGTGATTCATCACTTACATATAACATCCAGTGCTCATCCCCCAAGTGCCCTCCTCAATGCCCATCATCCATTTAGCCCATCTCTCCACCTAACACCCCACCAGCAACCCTCAGTTTGTTCTCTGTATTTAAGTCTCTTACGGTTTGTCTCCCTTCCTGTTTTTATCTTATTTTTGCTTCCCTATGTTCATCTGCTTTGTTTCTTAATTCCCCATATGAATGAAATCATACGATATTTATATTTCTCTGACTTATTTTGCTTAGCATTAAATACACTCTAGTTCCATCCATGTTGTTGCAAATGGCAAGATGTCGCTCTTTTTGATAGCTGAGTAATATTCCTTTATATATATACACACACACCACATCTTTATCCATTCATCAGTTGATGGACATTTGGGCTCTTTCCACAATTTGGCTATTGTCGATAGTCCTCAGCACATGTGTTTTTTTTTTTTTAATTTTTTTTAACATTTATTTATTTTTGAGACAGAAAGAGAGCATGAACAGGGGAGGGTCAGAGAAAGAGGGAGACACAGAATCTGAAACAGGCTCCAGGCTCTGAGCTGTCAGCACAGAGCCCGACGCGGGGCTCGAACCCACGGACTGCAAGATCATGACCTGAGCCGAAGTCGGACGCTTAACCGACTGAGCCACCCAGGCGCCCCCCGCCCCCAGCACATGTTTTAAATGCATCCTCACTCATGTACCTGACCAGCCTCTGCCCTTCTCTCCTTCTTTACCAAAAGGATCAGAAGTAGAGAATCCTAGACTGTGTGCGCTGCTCCACTACCCTCAAATATTCATCCCCTTCACTTAAAATGTCTCTCTCTACATTTTCCCCCTCCTGGGGGGAAAACATAATTTCAGAAGTGCTCTCCTCCCTCTTGTCAGTTTTGACCCACACTTAGTACTCCTGGATCCCTGCTCCAACCCTCCTGAGCCACACCTTCAGTCTCTACTTCTGGGCTCACCAACTTTCCTGTTTCCTATTGCCAGAGTACAAGCAAAGCCTCATTTCCAAGGAGAGCATCCCTGCTCAATCCTGCTACACTCTCCAGTCGCTCTCTCTTCGTCACCAAACTTCTCCAGAAGATCACCTCAGTCTTTTTCCTTTCCTTACCAAAATCCATGCCCTTAGCCACACGATCCGAATTTCACTTCCACATCCTGAAACTGTGGAAAGTCCTCAAAGGCCATCCTGGGTCTTTCCACACATCCCTCCCTGGCGTCAAGTACAGACTTTGGAGGCTGGTGTTCAGACCCTCCCCAGTCAGGTTCCTACCCATCTGTCTTTGGCCCAGTTTCCTTCTCATTTCCATGAATTTCACCCACTGAAAACTTACCTCTCCTTTAAGGTTCCTTTGGAAATGTCCTCGCTTTCATGAAGCTTGCTCCAATCCCATTCCCCTAAATTCTTAGCTTCTATTTGCACCAGGTACTTAGTTCCTATTATATGTGCACACAAGCTGTACTTGACCCAAAAGTGCTGTAGGGCAAAGGTCATGCCCTATTCTTATTCCCCATAGTAAATGGCAGGGCCAGGAGGAGGGCAAGGCAATCAGAGTTCCCCATAGCAAAATTTTAGAGGCGCTCATTCTCAGGTTCATGTTAACTGCAGAGATGGCACTTAGATTTGGTTCTCTAGGGGCCACACTTATGCCACCCTGGTGACTACTTATGACCCTTTGACATAGATTGAAAATAAATGAATCTATAAACCAATGAATCAGTAAGACGACAGTGTAATGATTCCTTATCTTCCTTGTGAATGAAATTGGGAGAGAGTAAATGTAGAATGCAATCATAATCAGTGAGACAGAAAGGCAAGTCTGTCGGGGAGTTTCTAGGAATATAAATAAAAACACCAGGAGGACTCTCCCCTCTTCTTCCATGAGATGCTGTCATGGCTGAATATAGCACCTGGAATTATTGACGGCAGCCACACTGGGAAGAGCCCAAGGATGAGACCGGTGGAGACCAGAAAGGCAGAGCCAAGAGAGAGGGTGCTGGAGCCCTGACCCATCGCGTCTGCGGCCTGCCCATTCTCTGGACTTCTCGTGGGAGACAAGAGATCATTTGATCCATTAAGCCACTTGCATCAAGGGTGTCAGCCTGTTTCCAAGTCAGGGTTTTTGGTCACTTACGTCAGGCAAAATAATACTGAGAAGTGTCATTTCCCAGGAGAGAAGCGTGTGGCAGAACAGGGAGCCAGGCAATTTCTGCACCCTCTTCTCTTCCTTCTTTCAGGAGATGGGTGAATGGGTCTGGGTAAAGGCCCCACGCTCAACCTGGCCTCTCGAGCTCTCGCTCCTGAAGGCCCCGGGGATCAGGACCGTCCACAGCCCCACCGTGCTTCGGTCCTCCACGTGAGAGGCAGATCAGGCGGGCTCTTCAGCTGACACAGAGAGAACTATCATTCTCCAGCGGCTTCTCTTCAAACTAGCCAGGAGAAACAGGATACTCAGCTTTGGCCTGGTGTCCTGCACTCTCTGGTGGCCTTTTAGCATCTGTAAAGTTGATTCCTTGATTCCCG